ATCACATGTTCTCACTAATAGGTGGGAGCTAAGTGACTGCCACAGATAGGCACAAAAAAGACAGAAAGGACACTGTAAGTGAAGAAGAGGGTAAGGCTGGGAGGAAGATGAGGGATTAAAAACTTATCTACCTATTAAGTATAATGAACACTTTCCTGATGGCAGGCACAGTGAAAGCCCTAACATAAGCTTTATACATTGTATATATATAACAAAAACATTTATGCCCTTAATATATTTAAATTAAAAAAGTACAGGATGGCACTTGTGCCTCAGTGGGTAGGGTGCTGGCCTTATATACTGAAGGTGGTGGGTTCAAATCCGGCCCTGGCCAAACTGTAACAAAAAATAGCCAGGCTTTATGGCGAGCACCTGTAGTCTCAGCTCCTCGGGAGGGTGAGGCAAGAGAATCGCCTAAGCCCAGGAGTTGGAGGTTGCTGTGAGCTGTGATGCCACAGCACTCTACCAAGGGTAATAAAGTGAGACTCTGTCTCTAAAATAAATAAATAAATAAAAATTAAAAATTAAAAAAAGTACAAAAATTGAGAGACAAAATAAAGAAATTGAGAAAAACTGTTTAGAATCAGAGAGGAATATACAGAGTGATTTTGTCTGTTGAAATTAATAAGAAGTTGTACTATGCATTGCTTTTTTCATAAATAAATACATTAATTAAAAATAAAGGAATTGGGCTGGACTCAGTGGCTCAAGTCTGTAATCCTAGCACTTTAGTGTAGGACAGTTTGAGGCTAGGAGTTCAAGAACAGCCTACGCAATATAGCAAGACCCAATCTCTACAAAAACTAAAAAAAAAATTAGCAGGGCATGTTGGCATGCACTTACAATCCGAGCTACTTAGGAGGCTAGCCAGGAGGACTGCTTGAGCTGAGGAATTTAAGGTTGCAATGAGCTATGGTGATGCTATTACAATTCTAGCCCATGCAACAGAGCAAGACCTTGTCTCAAAAAAGTAAAAATAAAAAGCAATCAGCATTAGAAACTAAGGGTAAAATAATATAAACATTACTATACACTTGAAAATTAACACACTTCTAAATATTCAGTAGGTTAAAGAAGTAGTCTCAAAGGATATTTAAAAAAACACATAGAAATTAAGTGAACAAACAGAAAAAACAGCATATCAAGTTGTGAGATGCAGCTATAGGAATGCTGACAAAGACAGTTCTATCAATAAACGGAGACACTTGAAAAGAAGAAAGATACCAAATCAGTAATATACCATGACCAAGTGAAAATTTTATGCAAGGTGGATTAAAAAATCCATCAGTATAAGCCAACGCATCACCAATGTAAAGAAAAGTCTTATGATCATATCAATTTATACTAAATATATAATTAACAAAATCTACATTATCCATGATTACAAATTCTAAGTATACTAGGAATAGAAAATTTTCCTAACATTATAAAAAGCATCTACAAAATGCCTACAGCTTACATTATTCTTAATAATGAAACCAAATGTTTTCTAAAAGCAAGATCAAGGCTGGGATTTCATCCCTTCACTCTTAACATAATACTAAAGTGCAATAAATTAAAGGCACAGACTAAATTTACCCAAAAGAATCCACAACTATTTAAAATGGTATATCACTAATATACTTTCAGTTAAAATAAAACAGACATGAATGCCTGCTATCACCATTATGAGACAATATTGGCTCAGGGATTCTAGCAAAGGCAATAGGATAGACTGAAATGATCAGATTAAACACAATTTAGTGGCATCAATGCTGTGTAACCATCACCACTGTCTTTTTCCAGAACTTGTCATTATCCCAACAGAAACCCTGTAACCATTAACTAACCACCACCTCTTGCCGGAGTCCCAGTAACCTATATCCTACTTCCTGTCTCTGAATTTACAAACTCTTCATTCCCAATATAAGTGGAACCACTTGTGCAGGATTACTTGAGCCCAGGAGCTTAAGGCTGCAGTGAGCTATGACGTTGGGCAATGCAATGAGAACTTGTCTCTAAAAGAAAGAACTTCATTCCTTTTTATGGCTAAATAATATTCTATATATATAACACATGCAAAATTTATAGCTATAAAAGTCAGATACTTAATAATGAAAATAAAATGTAAAGCCAGGCATGGTTTACCTGGTTCATGCCTGTAATCCCAGCACTCTAGGAGGCTGAGGCAGGTGGATCCCTTGAACTTAGGAGTTCAAGACCAGCCTGAGCAAGAGCAAGACCCCATCTCTACCAAAAATAGAAACGCTAACCAGGCGTGGTGGCAAGTACCTGTAGTCCCAGCTACCCGAAAGGCTGAGGCAAAAGGCGTTTTGCCTCAAAGCCCAAGAATTTGAGATTGCTGTGAGCTATGATGCCATGCATTCTACTGACACTAACAATTGAGACTCTGTCTCTAAATAAATAAATAATAAAATCCAATAGCCAATAAACAAAAAGGTGCACAAAGTCAGTGGCAATTATGGAAATGGACACTAAAATAACAATGACATGACTTAATAACAATGAACGGGCAAAAAAGTAGAAAAGTCAGTCTATCAGGTAAAAGATACTCTCCTATACTGTTGGTATGAAAGAAAATTCTAATAGCCTCTTCTGAAAGCATACATAGACACCAACACATACCCACACACATGCTTTTGTATGTTTTCATATATGAGCACCAGTGAAACAGCATGGAAGGATTCCAAGATTACCTCAGTAGAATCATAGTAGTAATGATTAAATTTTTCTTTTTAATCTTTAACTCTATTAACTTCAAATGGAACGGTAGTGTTTTAAAATGAAAGTAAATTTTAAAAAGTAGCCAACACATGTAACTATGGAGTAAA